CAGCTAATGGGATTTTTTTTGTTTTAAATAAACCTCTGCCAGAGCAGTTTCTTTGCAAGCAACAAACACACCTCCTCTCTTTGGGGCTCTCTGCTTGTGCTGCCGCCTCTAGGCTTAGGCCTCGAGTGACATTTTTTGCTTCGGCTTCTTTTGGCTATTTTCATGGGCTCCCATGGGGCTGTTTCGCTTTTCTGCTTTCTTAATTACCCCCCACTCGAAAGGCAGCAGCAGCAGAAATGACTCAAAAATGCAGCTATGCAACAAATTGCAGACATGCAAATACTCGTCGGCCAGCCACCCTGCCAGGGGTAGAGTGCCACAAGAGGCAAATGCAGCGAGTGGGCATGGCTATGGCTGGGCTAGGATGATGCCTGGATACTCTACGTATAAATGGATTCAAATCTAAGGTATAAATTGGCATAACCCTTAAATGGAATGCCCAAAGGAAAAGTTGTACGCTCTCGTATATCTTTTGCTCTATAAATCCTGTAAAACCAATGATTTAATGGCATTACACTTGAAATAAATTCCTCTTTTCTGTTTTCAACTCGTCTACCTAATCGCTTGCCCTTTCTAGCGATGTACTCCGAGCGCAATCTCCCTCTAAAGTGTACAAGTGCCCCCTTTTGAGCCCCCTTTCTGGGGGCACAACTTCAGCCTTGGCGCTGCCTACGAGTGTATGGGGGCTTCTTTTTGAATCCAGCATAGCGCATGTACTCGTGGAAAAAAAAACACATCCTTGACCATATTTACACTGGCTTTACAGGCGGTCATATTTGCTTTAAGCTTTTCCTTTTTTCTTGTTCTTTGCTTTTGTGTTTTTTTTTTACCCCCCTACCCACTGTTGTATGCCAAAACCAAACACAGAACTTGAGAAACGGAGCAAGCGTGTCGCGGGGATAGGGTTCCTGCAGCAAGGACACCCCACTTTGTTTCCTTTAAAAAAAAACACACACAGCTGGAAAAAAATTAAATCTGATTGAGTTTCTGAATGAGATTTATATTTGGATTTATTTGGCGTACAATTTTTATATAAACTAAATTTCTCTTAGATCAGAGTTATATTTTCAATAAAATTTTAATTTACAGGCCAATTTTCATTATGTTCAAAGATGTTTTCTAAGTTAACTTTATGACTTTTCTTTGATATTAATTATTTGATTATTTATTTATTTATTATTATTTATTTATTTATTATTATTTATTTATTTATTATTATTTATTTATTTATTATTTATTATTTTAATTATATGTTTCCGGCTTAAAGATCAACAAAACATTTCCTGTGCCCAAAAAGTTATATTATCTGTTGTTTATTTGGGAGATGCTTTCAGACACAGTCCCCATGTGCCATGACCCATGTCCCATGTCCGGTTTTCAACACCTTTTTCGCACATAAATTTTAATAACACATGCCACAGGAGCAGCCCCACTCCAGTGGCAGGAGGCGGAATCCCGCCCTACCCATTCCCGTGGCAATAGGAGCAGTCCCAGTCCCTTCTCCCATTCCACTAGCAAGCGGATCTCCGCTCTTTTCCCTTCCAATGCATGTAAATTTCACACACACTCACATATATATATATGAATGGATATTATGGGGGGGGGCGTCGTCTGTATGGCTGGTGGCTGGGCGTGTTGGTGCAATACAAAACAATTCCCAAATGTAGCGACACGTTACCGTTGCTCCAACGAGTGGCAGAGTTCCTGCTGCAATTGGCAAACAAGTCAAGGTGGTAAATGGCAAATGGAACAAATAGTATACGGAGTACACACACACACACACACACACAGCAGAGGGAGTGGATTAAGGAGGAGGAGCAGCAGGGTCATACCCCATTCCGTTGGGGGGTATGTACTCCACGGGGAACGACCTACATGGCGCTCATTTCATGTCAACTATGCGACAAAAAATAAAACAGCGTGGAAGCGCTGTAGACACGACTAAAAGATACTCTGTAATCAGTTTTGCTTACGGCTGATTAAATTTTGTTTTGTGAATCTGAGTGAAATATTCACCAGATCGTGTTGATATTTGAAATTTCCGTAGATTTTCATAGATTTTAAATATATATATATATATAAAAAAAAGGACACAATAGTTCAAAGCTAATATGAATATAATAGCTGATTATATTGGTAATATTCAAAGGATCAGAATGATTTTCGACATTTAAGATAAGTATATTAAAAACTAGGATAACAAATCTTTAAAATTGTGGAAGTTAGACTTAAACATTTAAACTTCGATGCGGAACGATTGAGTATAGGATTTTCAGCATATTTGATATATTTTTCCTGGCAAGAGGCTTGCCATTGTTGTCTGTACTTCTTATCTGAATCTTATGGATTTTTAGACACAAAATAATTAATACAACCTCCAATTACACGATATAACGCCAGATATATCTAGTAGTAGTGCTAGTAATTTTACTTTATGTCCAAATAGAATTGGTCTGGCTTTTAAATAGCCCACAAATTACCCTTACGTGTTGGGAAAACATCATCCATTCATATTTCTGTATAAAAATACAGAATATATCATCTATGAACCTTATCCACCCACCTTTCACACTTTATAAGGTCAAATGCGCTTTCAACTCTCAAACATTCAGTGCAGAATACAATATACTCTTTTAACCTACAAAATAGCTGCTAAAAAGGCCAGCAACCTATCCAAACAAAAAAAGAAACAGCAACAGTAGCTTCGCTGACAACACCAAAATGTAAGGGCATAGAGGAAAACTCCCCCTCGCTGTTGTATGTTTGGGGGGCCACAAACTGCAGTCAATAAACTATAAAATATGCAATGTTTGGAATATTTTGCACATGCCTCCCAACATTTGCCACTATATGGTATATATCGTATATATATATAAACATACACGATATGCAGACAAGTTTTTACTTATTTTTTTTCAGCGAGGTAGAGTGCGGGTGGGCCTGGCTGTGGGAGTATATATTTTATGCATGCAGGTGAATTGATTCAATGGGCTGCCAAACAGCAGCACCAGCAGCAGCAGGCACCCAAAGGAAATTAGCTTGACAGGAAATTCCACACAATACAGAGGGAAAAACCATCAAAAGCCACCACACACAGCCACCCAAAAACCACCATGCCACATGCCACACACACACACCCACCCCCTACAATCCCCTAGGAACTGTGCGACTCTGCTGCCACTGCCACTGCCACTACCACACAGTGCACAGAATGTCCGTTGACATTTCCCCACTCATGCAGCCGATTTTCATATTACATTTGGTTTGAGCTTAAATGACAAATGTGGTTGGTAAGCCGACGTCTGGGCCCGCGAGCTTCCTCCATGGTGCCAGCTACTCCTCTTGCCTGTTGCCTCTTACCTCCTGCCTTCTGCCTCATGTCCCAGAGATCGCAGCCATACATTCATTTATATGGACACATTTTCGGGGCGGCGAAGTTGTGAGGCGTTTTCGTGGTTTCGTGGTATTATTGCTGAATGACAGACAGTCGTCCCGCCACCAACTGACTGACTGAATGACTGACTCTCGTCTGCTGCTGCTGCTGCCTTCTATAGCTGTGTGCATTTGTATGGCAGTGTGTGAGAGTATCTTCTGCTCGAATGTTTCTGCCTTGCCGCATTTGGCTTTGTGATTGTGATGGATTGTGGCATTGGCAATGGAGGCGACTGTTTCACTGTCATTTTTGAACTCTGCCAAACGCCCAAAAGAGTGAGAGACACAAATTGATGGAGTGCTTGGTAGGGCGAAAGAAGCGAATGAATATATGAAAATATCGGGAAAATTTTATCAACATTTAAAAGAGCAAATAATGAAGAGACAAATGCAAAAAAAAATATCATTAATATAAGAGCTGCACAAAAATGGTCAGGGTAGAACCTTAACGTAAGCAAGATCTTATTGCAATAAATCTTTAAGATAGATTTTATTATTCTGCGATATTTGGCTGATATTTTGCTAATATTTAACCCCATTCTTTTACATGCCTAATCCCCTACCAATAAGACCTATTCCCTGAGTCCTTAGCTTCATAATGGCACCAAAATGTTGGCTTACAGCCAAAGCAAACTCCATAAGCATGCCCCAACCCACCACACAGTGCAAAATGCAACCCTTACCTCCTGCCACCACTAAAGTTGAGAGCCGATGCCTATCGGAGAGACCTATAAATAAATTTGCCATTTGCAAAAGTCACAAAGGGGAAAAACAGGGGCCAAACAGAGGCAGACAAACGGTGGAAATATTTGAAAATTAATGCAAAGATACACAAAATACGAATGAAAAAACACGCATACGCAGTGGTTGACGGTCGGTGAAGGGTTTGGAGAGGGAGCGGGAGCGGGAAAAGCAATAAAAACGGCAGACCAGTGACTTGAGGAAAAGGGAAACGAAAGGGTAAAAGAGACGTGGAGAGAATGTCGCTTTATGGACGACATTGTCAAACAAATGGAACAAATACTGGAAGGCCTGCTCTGCTGCTAGTTGATTCGAGAACTTCTCTTGCTGCGTCTGCTCCTGCTCCTGCTGCTTCTACTTCCGTGCCTGCTCTGCCTCCTGCTGCTTCTCCTGCTTCCATTTTTCTGTTTCTTGCACCTGTTTCCAAGTCCTTCTGCTGCCTCTTTCACCTGTTTCCAAGTCCTTCTGCTGCTTCCACACCTTTTGCCCTGAGGCCAACGTGTAAGCAATAAAAGTGCAGAGACATCGTTGGATGGAGTCGCCACTTTGCATTAGGTACCCGTAACCTCCGCACAAAAAAAAAAACAAACGACAAATTTGCTTTTGCTACACTGCCATTGATGCCCTGTTCTCTTAAAGGGGGAGATGTGTTTAATTAAAAGGTCCAACCAAGTTGTGTTTACATTGAAAATAACTTTAAAAGAAACATATTTAAAGATCTATAAATCAAAGTATTTAAGAGTAAGATGGTAGTCTTTTATATTATAATTAAGTTATCGCATATTTTCCAAATGCTAATCTATATTTTTATTTTCTTCTACTTACAGGTGAGTTTTTGAATGCTTAAACATCATTTTTCTTCGGATAAATCACACATAAATCTGAAAGAAAGAGAGTGAGTAATTAATTTAAAATTCTCTATCTAAGAAAATATATTTTCTGCACCATTGGGCTTCCTTCGCTCCACCCTTAAAGCTACAGGGTAAAGGGTACTTTTAAATTCCACACTCTTTCTGCTCCTTTTCCACTGCTATTTGCAATGCGCTTTTAATTTGACCGCGTCTGACTGCGAGACTACGATGTCGCCGCATACGCTTGGCGAAAGGCCTTTCCTTTGCCAAAGCAACGGCGCAGAAACTTAATTTTCCACCGTCGCTGGTTGTTGATGTTTTTTTTTTCGTTTTTGCATTGGCAGCGCAGGCAAAAACTTTTGACTTTCCCGCCACTTGCTGAAACTTTGGCCATTTTCTTGTTGTTTTTGTTGGCTATTTGTTGCTTCGCTGCGCCAGACGACGATGACGACAAAACCAATCTATCCCTTTGCTCCCTGTCCCTGTCCCTAGGTCTGCCACTCCCCCTTTTGCCCGTGGAGCTTGTGTTTTGGGATGACAAAATTTTAATATAGTCGACAAATGCGACGGCCACATTGGCCGACTGCCATTTACTGAGACTTCCCATCCTTAGCCTCTTCCTTAGACCTAGACTTAAGGTACAGGCCGCCCCATCCTTGGCCATGTCACGCAATTTTGTTACCAAAATAAATTTTATTTTATTGGTTTTTTTTACAGGCAAATCGGCCCTGGGTTATACGATAGTTTTTCCACCGAAGGAGTTGCTTGAATTTTCCAATATTTCTTATCATTTAATGGTTTTAATACAGATATTTCCTTCTATTACTGGAATATTAGGCTGTTTATGGGATTCTTTGGATATATTTGATATATACATAAATATATTTCAGAATTCTTTTTTTTTTTGTAATTTATGAAATTTATGTTTTTCTTGTATTTTTAATATTTTGGTTCAGTTTGGTATTTTTAATAGTATTTTAGTATTTCAGTACTTTTAATCTTTTTTAAAAGATTTCTTTTTTTTTTTTTTTTTTATGAGCATAGTTAATTCCTATTAAAGCTCCATCGGCAAAAAACCCATCGTTTATCTGCCACCTTTATCGCTTCATCATTTCTCATTTCATCGAGCGTTTCATGCTGTTTATGAACTCTGGCCACTCTGTGGCTCCCCTGTAAATTGACTCTATGCCGTTGGGGGCATAACCGCCTCTCCTGCTACTTAAGACGTTGTCCTTTGACTCAACCTTTGGTCCTGGTCCTAGCCCCATTCCTGGACCTGCACTCTCTCCCCCTTCCAATGGCGGCTGTCTTCCTTCTTTTTTGGCAAATATTTTGCGTGTTGCCAAAATGATATCCCTTTGGGTGAGGGAATCTTTTGGGCTAAATTCAGTTTATGGTTAGTTCTTTGCCCTTCTGATTGCGTACTTAGCCGCCGTTTCCTGGGGGAAATTAAAATGTGCTTAACGGAGTAAATAACCGAACCAGAAACATGTGGGTGGGGTGTTGTGGGGAATGCTTTAAGGAGGGGTGCAAACTTTTTGACATTGAGCAAGGTAAAAGTTGATATTTTTTGGGAATTTCTACAATTTTACATTTCTCGATTGTGGTAGCTAAAAATATTTATATTTTGGGATCTTAGTTTTTACTGAATTCTGAAGATTACGATTTATATGTGGGGCGTATTCTTCATTCCTTATTCTTTGATTTTGGGAGAATTCTCTCTCCTCAATTTCCAGTATTCTTAGATTTTATTCTTACATCTCCTATTAATTTTTTTTTGTAGCCCAGAAGACCAACTATTTTCTCTACCTTCTGCTGCACTTCTTTATGGTTTCTATTTTTTGTGTGTCTCTGTTTGAGCATCACAAATATTATTTCATTTGCTTTTGCAATTTTTCGCGCTCTAGGGGCGCTATGTTATTCGAGTGCATATATTGACAAAAGGGGAAAAGGCAGGGCGGGGGTGGGAAAACCAATCGCTATCCATCGTTCATGTCGTCTGGCATTCCCATTGATTTGGGGCTTGTTGTACAAGTATCACTCTCTGCTCTGCTCTGCTCTGCTCTGTTCCGCCCTTACATTCGATTCGCTGCGCCTTTCGCAATGCTAATGAAGTGCTTAAGGGGAAAGGGAGATGCATGGGGGGGTTCGTGGAGGGTTCAATGACTCGTTTGCAAGTTGAATGCATTCATGGGTGTCGTCTTGAGTGCATGTCATTCAACTGCAAAGATTTACAAGTATCCTTTTATCAATCAATATTTTTGTGATGCATGCGGTAATCGTTCGAGTTCAAGGGTATATTGCATTTGTGCTGGGGTTTGTTATAAATAGAGAGGAAGCATTTGGTCCCCTGGGAATGGATAGTTCACAAGAGATAGAATTAAGAACAATTTGGGGCAACTACAATTTTAATAAAAAAAAAATTATTATACAAAAAAACAGGTCAACTAAAATGTACTTAAAGTATATAAAAATACAACAATAAAAATAAATAATAGCAAAAGTAATATATACAAGAAAATTTATATATCGGGACATTTTTCTTAACTCAATGCTGAAGAATCGAAGCTATATGTGGGCGCATTGATTTAAATGCTAAAATATTCCAAAATTCTATAAAAATACCCAAAAGTGTGTTAAAAAATGTGTAAATTCACTTAAATACTAAAATATGTATGTACTATAAAAAATATCACAATTATTAAAATATATAAAAATACCAATAAATTTAAATTCGATTTCAGATTCAAAGCACTCAAAAATAAAGAAAACAAATTCTCATTTCACTTACAAAATAAGAAACAAAATTCACAAAATTCAATTCAAACCATTTTCTCTCCTGCCAACTTGTTTTGCTCATTTTGGTCTGCAATTTTCATTCAAATGTAACAAATTTCGTATGAATCTCTTCACATTTGAAGTCCTATTTAGCCTGCAGTAAGATTCGCTCTCTAAAAAATTGAACTGAAATTCAAATCCAAGTCATGACCTTCAATCCGTGTGCCTCCTTCCCCAGCAACTTTCCCAATACCACAATTTATATAAAATGTTGTGCAGAAAATAGCCTCCAGTTATTTGTGTGTGAAAATCAAACACAGAGCCAGGAATAAAATAAGGAAGAAAAAAGCAACGATATGGTTTATTAAATATTTGAAGCCCGGGGCACACACGGTGGGTTTAGAGATATATTATATAAAGAGGGGTGGGTTTGGTTGGTGGTTGGTGGGGGGCACAGAGGGGCCTCGAAGGGTAATTGAATTTTGAAGCCATCGCGTCGATGGTTCACAAATTGTGCTAATGATTTCGCTGCTGGTGTCTTCTTGCAGTATGGAACAAAGGAAAGAAAGTCTCTGTTGCGCGCCCTTTGTAGATGCCACTCGAGACTGTCTGGAGAGGAGCGACGAGCATGAAAGATACTTTCAAGTGGCCGCCAAGGTTGATTGGTTCAGTGCTGCCAACTCCCGCAGAAGATGCTGATGCTGCTGCCGTGCCTCCGAATACGCCTCCAGCCATGCATCACGCTGCCGTTCCCTAAGATCCACTGGCCAATACACTTCCAGCAGTTCCATGTCCATGTCCATCTCCTCATCCTCATCGGGTTCGTCCTCGTCATCGTTGAGCAGTTCAATAGATTTGGCGCCGAATACCAGAGCCATCTTATAGATGGCCAATGCGACGAGACTCATGATCCATCCCAGGATCACACCAAAGGCCATGCATGTGGCGGCCTTGATGAAGTATCCAAAGCTCGTGTGAAGTTCGCAGTGGAAGCAGGCAATACGTTTCGTCACATATTCCAAATTATTCATTTTGTTTAGAATTTACCTGAATCGAATTTTGGTAGACGAAAGATGGCAGCAAAGAAAAAGGCAACTCAGATCAACATTTTGCCATGAGAAATCGTTTCAGCTTTAAGGTTTTCCTTGAGCCTTAGCTTAGATCAAAGATTCCTCGACATTTCCTTTAGTTCCAAAAAGTATTTCAAAAATAGTTGAAAGTATTTTTCTGATCTACTTTCAAGCAACAAGACAGGCAAAATGGTTATGCTGAATCCCATTGAGATTTTCTGCTTCTATGTGGTGCAGCCCATCATTGACTTGCTGGGCTACCTCATGGATGTGCACTATTTGGCCTTTCTGTCGGGTCTGGCAGTCATTGGCATCATCTTGGGACTCATCTTCAGCATCATATCGGTGATCTGGTACAAGAGCACTTTGAAAGATGTCCCCAAGGAACAAACACCCAATTTGGAGCTAGTTCACATACAAGAAGGCCCCTCCAAGAAGAAGGACGACTAAAAACAGATGACACTACAGCGGTAGCGGCAGCGGCTCTCTCTCACAGAATTCTAAAAAAAAAATTCAAAGGGCGGTACAGAAGAAGACTAAATAAACAGCATTAAAAAGAATAATATTGATTTATGGGGTTTATATTGGGAGTTTATTAGTCATATAAATGCTTTTGCTTCAAAATCAGGATAGAAGCATCGCTATGCATCGATGTGGCTTCAAAAGATACATTTCCTTTGGTTCTCAGATAGAAAACCCTTCCCAAAGAAGGAAGTAACAACCATTTCTATGCTTTTATTCGTTAACCAATATCATTTTCACTTTCCCCAAGTGATACCTTCACAGAGTCAGAGTCCTTTCTTGACAGTACCCAGTCCTTTGCTTCGCTTCGCTGCGACTGCATTGTGTGCCTCTTCACTTCACTTGACAGAAGAGACTCCTTTTCCATTCAAGACACTGTGTTACCCGCAGTTATTAGCCTACTTTCAACAATTTGGCAACGTTGCAGTCTCTCCCTCTCTCTTTCCATCTCCTTTTCGTTTTGGTTGGATACTCTCATTGTTTTTTAACGTTCCCCTCCCACCACCCTGAGGCATTGTCTAGTTTCGAGGCAAAGCCGCAAGCCGTTTACCAACCCAACCACTTGAGCGAATGCTTACAACATTTCAGAAACAGAAACTCAGTCGCGAGAAAGCCCCACTGCCCACCTGCCACCCTCACCATGCCGCTTTTTGCATACCCTGTAAGTAGCTGGAGTCTAAGGGTCGGAAAATACTTTTACGATACTCCGCCTTTGCACACGTATAAAGAATTTCCTATTTCTTTATATTCAAAGCGATTTTTTCATAATTAAAGAAAAATTATTGAAAGTACGCTGCTTCTTGGGCAGTCGAATCGAACTTTCTATCAAATCTTGAGCGTAGCAACTCTTCTCTTTTAGAGCTGACTAAACACATAACTGTAGGTTTTTCCAGCTGGTTTCCATTCTGAATCCCCATAACTGCATCATTTACGAGCTCTATAAATCAATTAAAAAATCGGAAAATGTCTAGCCAACTCATATTCCACTTAGTTTTTAAAATAAAACTCATTTCAATAGCAGCAAAATATATTTTCAAGGCGCACCAGCGTATCCCCCAGTCGGTTACCCTCAACTAGTGGCTTCTATCTCTTGTATTTTTTTTTTTGTTTATTCTTCTTTTCGGAGAGCGAGTTATAATTGCAAAAAAATGTATTTCAATGCAATGGCAGAAGGAGGAATAAAGGCAGTAGAGGTGGAGTAGAAATGGAAGCGCGGGCACAGCAGAGTAACGGAGTGGGAATGGAAGAAGCCCCCCTAGTGAAAGACAGAGCAGCAGTTCCATCATATTGCCCGTCGCAGAAAATTGAAAGAGAATCTGGCTGTAGCCTGAATGAATGGCAAATGAATGAAAGACAAAAGTGTGTGGTGTGGTGTGGTGTGGTGCGAGGGTTGGGCGAAGGGTGAGGGCATTTAATCACCAATCCCAGTACCCAGTACCGCACACACACACATACACCCCAGCCCACCCCACTTAGGCCGAAGCCGTCGCATAATTCATTTAGTGGGTGGCGCCACTGAATGCACAGCTTAAGCTGGGCTGCTTAAGAGGGTGGTGCTGCAGTGCTGCTGCAATGCGGGGTGGGGTGGGGTGGCACCCCAAAAAGGCGCTTAGGGCGCAGCCATAACTGCAATCTAGTCATGGGTCCCAATTCCACCCCACCCCACCACAATAATCGTAGGCGAGACACAAAACAGCTGTGAATGAGACTTGGGACTGGAACGATGCCGTGTCAAATTTTTGTGTAAATGCAGGCAGCACCATGCCGACAAAAAAAGCTTTTAAAAATGCACTTTGACCCCCGCCACTTGCTAAGGGTAAGTGTTGCGGGGTCTGTATATGGTACGTGCCTTAATTGATACATAAATAACGCAAAGAAAGCCTCTGTATCGAAAGGTGTATGCGAATATGGCCGCATCCAGTAAATCAATCAATCAAAAGAAGAACCCACCAAAAAGTGTGTATATATTAAAGCATATATCCCAAGCGTCTCCCGAACCCTTTATTTGCCTTACATTCCCTTCATCTAACACTGAAATCAATTTTCCCCTTGCATGTCTTAACCCTTTCTGTGTATTTCTGGGTATATTTTGGTCATATCCCCATAGAAATATAAAATCTCTTCACTTGTCAGTCGCTACCGCCATTCCATTTGTGTGTATGTGGTGTGTGTGTGTGGCGCGGATTCATTAAGATTTTTCATTTCATTGAAACATGAGGATTTTGAGTAGAATTTTTCCATCATTTCATAGAGAATACGAGTGCCGTAGCCGCCGTCGTCGAAGCTGCTGCTGCCATAGAAATATATTTACAATTTTTCGCCCGTGACGTGCGTAATGATGCTGCCGAGGCTTAGAGATGAATGGGGGTCTGGCTCCGGGCTCTCCTGGCTCTTCTGGCTCTTCTGCCTCCTGGCTGAGTGGATGCCATTGCGAATGGGGATTTTTGAGATGGATTCCCAGCGCATGTTGTTGTTGTTGTTTGTTCTGCGGTTTTGTGTGTGTGTTGTCTAGGCAACGGTTCAGCGCACATTTTTCCATATGCAATCCATGGCGTTGGTTGCATTTTCCGGGCACTCATTTTGCACCCAACCTCTGGGCTGGATTGCGCCTCTCGCACATCCTTCTGTCTGTCTATGTGTCTTTCAGTCTCTTCAGAGCAGGACCTTGCGGTGCATTGAACTTTCCATCTCGTTTTGAGCAGCTCTCTCTCTCTCTCTCTCTGGTGGTGCCTGCAGTTCATTTGCTCTTTTTTATTTTTTTTGTGCTTCGTGGGGATTTCTGTTATTAAATTCGGGGAATTTCATAGTTTTTGGTTAGCCTTTTTGTAGCCTTTTGGGTAGACTTTTTGGTGCTCCTTTCAATTAAAGAAATTACCCTGTAATTAGTGAAATTAGTGTAATTTCCACTCATAATTAAAGCCATAAAGCTCAGTATTCCATGGCTGGAATTCATTCAATGTTGGCTTGTGAAGCGAAAATAATTATCAGCGGATAAGTGGACACTTGATTTTGGAGAAGTATCTGCACTCCAGCTTGGATGACTTAGAATCTTTCGAGTATCTGATACGAGTATGGAACACACAGAAATCCACAAAAGGTATTTTTTTTTAGAAATTTCTACGAGCAAAGTTACTGAAAAAAATATATAAAGTGTTTATCATTTTCTTTTTATTTAATGCATTTTTTTAATATAATTCTCAAAGAAAAAGAATCTCAACAATGAAGAAACTTAACTACAAAATATGGAATCTGTTAACTGTTTCTCTTCTTTATAGCGTTTATAGTTTCCTAAAGCAAAAGCCTTCTGAATGTCGAATCTATATAGTGTTTTCCATTGTCCCTTTATTTCTATTGTTTTCCAACTACATTTCTCCATTATTCTACCAGTTTTTTCTACCAAAACTTTCCATTCAAAACCTTTCGGCAGACCGCACAGAGCTAATGCCTTAATTAAGGAAAATGACTTCCCTAATGACCCATCATTTCCCTATAAATACCCGCCAATACTCTAACCACAAAACCCCTGGGTAAAACTCCGTCATTCCCTCCAGTCAACAGCAATGTGGCCATGTGGAATAAAGTGGAATATCAGCGACAGCGGAAAAGTCCTACACATGTGGGCTATCGAATTTTCCTACAATCCACCGCTTGGTTTCTTTATGGCATCGCCTGTGGCTGCAAGTTCTTCAAAGCAAAGTGGAATCCCGTTGAGAGACGCATCGAGGAACGACAATATAATCGGATAGTGTACAAACTGATAACTATCCTTAAAATAGTTCCCGTTGCGAGTCAATATCTGATGTATTTTGTGATGTTTATGGCCGTCTACATACTCTATTCGCTCGTGGAGAAGAGCAGTGCCCAGAATTTTTTGATGGGCCTCTTTGCACAGGGCATCGAGTGTAATGTCTTTCGGCGATTGGTCATCTTTTTGCATCTGAAACGGGATCGCATATTCGTGAGGCAGACGGTGAATGAGATCCTACAGATCTCGGAGGAGATTGAGCTAAAGTTTGGGCTCATCTATCACTGCGATGTGAGCCTTTTGGGTCTGTATTTCTTTAAGCTGTTCCTGCTCTACGTGTACGTGAGTTCGTACTGGCACAAGACGTACTTTCTGCTCATCAATCTGCTCTATTGGATGCTACTCGAGTACTGCTTCATGGGTTGGTTCCTCTACCAGCAGCTGCTCCTCAATTGGTATCAAAATATCACCACATTCCTGCAGCGTTTCATCGATGATCATAGGGATAGGGAGAGAATTATGGGTCGCTATCATCGCCGTCTGTTCTGGCTCTTTGAGCTCCATTTGCGTATCAATAATCTGCATAGGAGCATCAACGATAGCCTCTCGTGGCTGTCCACCTCCATCTATCTGATGATCTTTGTGTGCAGCTTCAGATTGGAGCTGATCATCGAGTGCATCATGTTCGGGGAGGATGAGCTGGAGAATAAGCTCTACATCATTGCCGATGGGTGTCTGGGTCCCGTACTCATTCCCCTTCTGTATGTCCTGCTAATAGGACTCTGCACAGATCGTTTGCGCGATGCTGAGCTCATGCTGCAGCAGCAGATTGTCATCATTCATGGGCTGTACATCAGGAAAGCCCCCACCCGCACTCAAGCCATAAAGGTCCTCTACAATGAGGTGAGTTCCGTCGGGTTGTAGCCTTTAAATCTCACTAATTAATTGGCTTTCCATAGCACACCTCATTGATCATCCATCAGAAGTTGGAACCACTGCAGAATTTAATTATTTTGGGCACCACCTGTGATCGGGAGTTTGCCTTTGATTATCTATTCACAGCCATACTCACAGCGTTGTCTCTTGTCCAATATTCCCTATCGTGCGGGGATTATCCCATTAATGAGTGTGCAACGCATAAGTAGCCAGAAATTAACAATAAATATTCAAATATTTTCATAAACAAAACCAAGTTCTGTGAGAATTTCATTTTGTTTTGGCTCAATAAATACTGGCTCATCGAACTTATTCGTTACATCTTTTAATAAAAGTGCTTTAGCGACTATTAACTGAACTCAAATCGCTAACCTTTACCGGTTGCTCTTGCTCTTCAAATGAGTTTTTTTCTTTTCCCTCCCCCCGGGGCCGCCCCCCCCCGCCAGAACAGCAGCCCTCATCCCCCGCACCCCCGGCCTGCCCTGCCCCACGGGCAGACTAGCAACAGTTCAAACAATCAACAGTCACGTACCATTTCTGACGGTTTACTTTTTAGCCAAAAAAAAAAAACAGAACAAAAAAAAAAAATGGAAGGCTCGAGAGTACGTGAAATATTCAATTTTTGGATACATTTTGCCGGTACATTTAAATTTATTTTTACAACCCCACAAAGGACAGAGACGTGAGCGTGGACACCACGTGCAGGCAGACCCCATCATAGACGATAAAATAATAATCGATTTAGACTTTGGTTAGAGTTTTGGGGCGGCACAGACCCACACAACTCATCTGCCAGAGAATCTCTCGCCCCCCTAGACATGGAAAAATGGAGCAACTCCTGGTGGAAGGGGGAGGGTATGCACTTCCTGCGGGGAATCGATTTCTCTCGCTCGCTCAGACGCTGGGAAATTTATGCGAATTCGAATTTGATATGGTTTAAACTGTTTGCCTAGGCAACGACTACGACGACTACGACGACGACGACGACGTCAGCCATGCAAATGTTCTGATAAGAGCAGCAGCTCCAGAGAGCAGGGTAGGGGAGGTGGGCGTTGCTATATGCCTATGGCTTTGTCGCCTTTTTAGTGGAAAATTAATTTGCTATAATTCATCAATGGCGCAAAAGGAAAAGCGAGAGAAAAGGCAAAGGCAGAAAGGATTATTTTGCATAAAAAATTGTGGCACTTGTCGAATTTTTGCATAGTCTGCTTTTGAGGCTGCTCCTGCTTGTGTCGGGTGGGTCGGGTGTATATGTGCCAGTGTCCCTGTGTGGGTGTATGTAAGTGACGCACTTTGTATAATTTATGGCTGCACATTTATTTTATTGAGTTTAATGTGGGCACAGTTGTTCCAGCCGCTGCCACTGCTGCTGCTGCTGCCAGCGCCATTTCGGAAAGGTGGAAAGGTCGCACACACAGACAGAGGGAGGGGTGGAGTGAGTGGAGGGAGACATGTCTGTGGGTTTGAAGGGCAGATTGAGGATGGGGGCAAATGGGTAACCATTTGAAGGCTTTGTTCTGCCTGAGAAAATGTATTACATCAGCGTACGATGAGGCTTCGTTCGGGTATCCTTCGGTTCCATGCACTTCAATAAATTGGTCGTAAACGGATTCCAGTAACCATATTTTAGGAATAGCTGTAGTGTTGGAAAACATTGATGGAGCGACTGTACGGAATTCCAGTTGAAGAATATAATCATGACTATGGTAATATGTACATTTTTCTCAGATTTTTTCTGATTTTTAAAAGTCCAAAAATTCGATAAACATAATAAAGAAACCTTTAACCCCTCGAAATTAAATCTAAAAATTAACATTTCATTGAAATATAATGATATTTGAAGTCTGAGAATTCTTCTGTGATAAGGCAGATTAAAATTTAGGTAGGAAATACATAGATATACTGGAACAAATGTTCTTAGCAGTAGAATCACAAATAACGAAGGCAAACCGGAATCTGCCAGCTACGAATGTTTCAGCTCCATCGCCAACTCCAATTCCATCCCTGAAAAAGTGCTTACCATTAAAATTAATAAGGTCAATTAAATTAAATATGTTCTTCAAGCACAACACACACACATTAAATCGATAGTCCCCCGTTAAATTCGCTTCAACCTCATCCCTGAATGAAAAATAGACTCCATTCAGTGCCAGGAACTACTCTGGTCTCCCCTACTCCACCACTCGTTCTCCTATTCTTATATTCCACCAACTAATTAAGCATTCAAAAACGTTTTGGCATAAAGTTGAAATTGGTTGGATCCACGGGGCATGGCAGTGGCAAAACCATAGCTAGGGGTTCGCAGTAGTGTGGTTCGGGGTCTGCCATTCTGGATTTTCGCTTTTCGAGGGGGGAAAAATCCAATAATAAAGACGATGCAGCCCAGTGCTCTCATAAATTATGGCAAATTATTAAGCAAAAGTCACCAAAAACAGAAAAACTTTTGCCACCGCACGCGCCACGCTACGCGACCGTCGAAAAATGAAAGTCCTACTAAAACATTGCGTATACGAGGGGGGCTTGTGTACGCGACAGGGAGGGAAAGTTCGGGGTACAGAATGATTTATTTTTATTATTATTGGCGGTGAATTTTAAATCAAAAAGCGCTCTCTCTTTCTCTACGGGAGGCTCTTTCTGCTGCCTCCCTACCGAATGACGGCCATTCCCCCGAAAAAGTATGCTATACATTTTGTAAGCTGCTTTCGATGTCAAAAATACGGCAGCAGCTGCTTTTGTCATTATTAATAACTGTTAATTATTCACCATTATATAACTACTCTGTGCCGCCCGCCCACTCCCCCTCCGTTCACTGTTGTACGACGAGGCAACGTTTCGAGCACGTTTCGAAACTTGTTTGCTTATGGCGGGTCTCTGTGCCCACTCCATCTCCATCTTACCCACTATATGTACTAGCATCTTCTGTCTCACTCTCTGTCTGTCTCCGTGTCTCTCTCTCTCTCTCTTTCTCTCTCTCTCTCTTTCTCTTTCTTTTGCATTCTCTTCTTCTCACTCTGTCACTGCCGCTCGAGTAATTCTCTTCTTTCATATTGTTTGGGCATCATATTTTATGTGCTCCTTAGTTAACGCCAATGTCGATGTCGATGTCTTGTCTCCCCCACCCTCCCTCTCTTTTGTCTGTTTCTCTTTCCCTACAACTATCTCCCTCTTTCTCTTGGTCATATTTACATATTATTAAAAAGTTTTCCGAAGCTCAGACAACATTAAAAAAACAGAGAAAAAGCGATGTCTAAAGTACATCAAAAGTCACTCGACATAGAGATATCCTATGGCTAGTGGAGGATGATTCTATGGCACTATTTACAGCATTGAAGAGCAGTACTCTCATATTTTAAATAACTCTGAATCCTTGACCGTTTTTATCTCATTCCACTGGCAATTTTAAAACGATTTCTAAGATTTTTGGAATATATTTAGATCGTTACATTATATGTTTCTGATTAGCCCCAATCACTTTTCCTTTCTCGGCATAATACACTCTCCCAACTAGAGCATACCCTCTCAATACCCTTTGAAAAAAGAGCGATGAAAAGTAAACTTTTCTATTTTGCCTGCGCTGGACTCTGAAGTTATTGAAAATTCATGAATAATTGACATTTATTGCAGTTGGCACAAATGATGGTCGATAATGGAGGGACGCCAGAAGGCGGAATGGGTCTGCTCTGCTCCTCCACTGGGCGCTCTCTCTCTCTCTCTCCCATGTCTCTCTCTGCTGTGGTCTCTCTCACTCGTTGTGTGTGTGTGTGTCTGTATTTTATAGACATAAATATTAAAGTAGCTTACGTACTTAATTGTAAATTATGCATTCAATTAGTTATGCCAGGCTGCCCCCAAATGCCATTTACAGAGAGGGTCAGACAGAGAGAGGAGAGAGAGAAAACTCCACTTCCAACTATCTTCAATTAAATTTTGAATATTGTTATGACTCCCTCCTTCGAGTCCTTGCTACGGCTAATAATCTTATTGTCAGCTGCAGGATACTTCTGTTCACTCAGTCATGCAAAATTTGCTCCAGTTTATCCGTTTATCATATTTCTGCAGTAAGCAGTCAGCAGTGCCAGTGCCATCCATCAGGTGTATCCCATCGGGTGTACGATTACTGCCATAATCGTAAACTTTTCCAATGATTTTGTGATGAGGTTAGACATTCTCTAGAAGTTTCTCAGCAATTTTCTGAGGTATTTTCTGTGGCACTTTCTACTTAAATTTGGTCTTCTGTCAAAAGGCGTTCTCGTGTTAAATTAACTCATAAATGGCGCTTAATTTGTAAGTCAACCCCTTTGCAAGAGGGAAAGCAGAATAGTTAATTCCGTAATTATATTAAGATTATAATTGAAACAAAGGGCATTGCAACATCAAAGTATGTTTCCTGGAATCCTAATTGTTTATGGATATTATGGCGTTATTTACGATTTACGTTCGATTTCCGATTTGAACTGGTGGAATAATTCAAAGAATTGGAACCCTTTTAATGGAAATATTCATATTTATTAAGATAAAATAAAGGCTGAATTATGGCATTCCTTCCGAATTCCTTTCTAATTTACCTTAAAAAATTCTGTAATAATTTCTTAATATTTCTTAAAAAATTTTGTTAATTTTCTATAGTTTCAACCAAACTTAATCCTTCAATTATATATTTTTCTTGAATTTTTATTCAACTATCTTTGAATAATTGATTTCTTTTAATATTCAATAATTCATTGGTTTTTTGCCAATCAAATTTAATTGAATTCTAAATCCCTAACAAAAGATTCTAGCAATATCTTACATTTATGCTAATTTTAAACTTTAATCCACAATAAATTCACTTCAATTCCATTCATTTTCATTAATTTTTCCTCTTGAATATCCACAAAGATCAATCAACACACGATATATCCACCAGTACATAATATTTTCCACTCCACCAAGGATTTGAGGACACAATCCTTTACTCCTCACAGCCACTGCACTCAACATTGGGGGTGCATATTCACATTTTAATTGACTTTAAGCCTATCCTCTGCATAGAAGCCTCTCCCCAAAGTAACCCCCTTCCCTCTCCCTAGCACACTATGGCAACAATTGGATATAGCTGCAAATGTGATATGTTACGTAGTGTATGCACTTTTTGATTAAATTTAACCCGCAGCTATTTGTGATAGAAGAAGCACTGGGAAATCCACTGGCACTGCATGCTGCCTGCTGCCTGCTGTTGCTGTTGCTGCGTTTGT